CTGGTCATGAAAGGCGTAGGAGGTGGAGATTCTTACAGAAACCAGACTGGTGATTTCTGACGGACGGAAACGTGTGAGCTTGCACAGCAATTATCAGGCTCGACGCAACCAAAAATGGTACCCCAATAAATCCGAGAGCAGATGGAAAGGTTCGATGGTTTGGGATTTTGGGCTAGGTATTTAAAGGGCTAGTCCGTGGCCCACTCGAGGATATGAGTCGGGCGGAGATAGGTCGGGTCGCTACGACGCACGAGTTTGCCATATCTTACCAGTCTCTGTCCAACAGAAGGCAGACAAGTTGAGTCGTCTTAAACAGAAGCACAAGCTCAAAGATTTTGTCAAGTTGACTGGATACATGGTGATATCACCCAATGAGCAGAACGCTCCGCCTCGCTAGATCGTCGCATCGAGCTACACAGTACTACGAGGATGAGCTCGAACCCAGCGCTGCTTATCAGAATACCGACCATTATTCATGCATCGCGGTGCCCACCTTCGTATCTTGTCTCTGGTCTTATCAACTTGTCCAAATTGTAGACGCCTTGGTTGCGTGATACATTCTGATTGATATAGTGAGCGATCCTCTCTCCCACGTACTGCTGTGAATGGTATGCAATTTGGTAAACATGAGATCTAGCTACAATATTCTGCGCATCTTTCATACTAACGATCGTACCGCTTCCTTCCATACTCGCACCAAGTCAATAAGAAGCCTCTTTCATGCCGATCCTTCAGGTTCCCCCATGGTATGCGCTCGCCAAAATAACTAATCAATCAGAAATGTCGACCCTATGGCGGGAGATGCATCTTCTCCAAGGACTTTGCCGATCCCCCTGGAGCGTCCAGTCCTCGCAGATACATGCATGTCGGTGTCTCCCCGATAGAAGATCTTATTGACTTGGCCGATGGGGGAACGTGAGCTGGCAGCTCATTGACTCCGTTGCCCACAATGCGGATGGAGCGTACCACGGGCTGCGGCTCGACCGGGGCCCCATCTGCCTCATTTGGTCGAGACCGATCGGATTTGAGACAGAGCATATGTAGCCAATGACGGCTTTGGGGGCTACAGTGGCACAAACCACGTTGCAAATGACGCTTACGATTGATAGCGAACCACATAAGAACTACGCAGACTGCTCCGACCGTGGGGATAGTCACGCCGACAGCAACAGGCATGATCCAGCCATCCTTCTGACGCCTGGATGCTTGGGTGGCCGTAGTTTTTGGTGGCAGCGGCTTTCCCGATGTGGTATATGGGTACCAAGTCGTGACCGTCTTCGTGTACGGGGTATCAAACAGTGACTTGAGGTGAGGGTCTCCCCACAATTCGGGTGCAGTTCGACTGGCGTTTCCTGTTGTTCTAGTCTTGGTCAGCTACCGAAGTTGGCAGGCTCGCCAGGCAAGATCAATGACCCACGTTCCTCCAATTTCCTGAAGCACCACACTTGGTACATGGTACTCCTCGACAGCCTCTGGAGAGTATGTTGTTTGAAATTCCAGATCATTCAGGCTGAATGTCTGCAGAATGCCACCGTCGAGGCAAATAGATGGATCCTGGTATAGACCCCCTACCACTAACATGTAGCTCGGTAGGATACCGAAGCATTGATGTCCGCTGCGACCATGGCCAGATTTCCCGGAGTAGGCCCTGATCCAGATAAAGGATGGCAAGGAGAGGATGTACACATCGTCATAAGGGGCAGTAGTGGAATCTTGTCCGTCATAGCCGCCGTAGATGTAGATATTGTGAGAGCTGCCATCCGATGCCGAAGCCAGCGTGGAGCAGAACGAGGAACGACCCCCTGAGGGAATATCGCCCGTGGCATTTTGGAGATACCTTGTAGATGTATCAACAGTGAAGCTTGCGTTCAGTTCGGGAAGGCCGACAGCGTACATACCATTTATCGAGCGCGATATCGTAAATTGGAATAATAGTCATAAAATCCGGGTCGGTCAGGGACTATGCTGGGTTAACCAAGGTTCTTCTTCGGGCCAGAAGAGCGGGTGGAGTCTTACATTTTGCTCTTGCTGCGTGGATGAAAGACCCGACGGATATAATTCTTCTGGGATCTTCACCCCGCCAATTACTGCTAGAACGCCTTGCCGGGAAACGGGGATCCACACCACTTGCGGGTTTGCTCGGCTCGCGACATATTTGGGCAGCGTCAAGTTCCGCCAGAGTTTCTGATCACCAGTGGCTGCCAAATTGACTGCAATCAATGTGTTCGCCGACGTGTTTGCCGATGCATCGTCCGAGGTGATAGGTCCCCAGTCCTGACCGCGCATGCCACCGAAATAAAAAGCCAGGTCCTCGCTGGGCACCGATACCGAACCCCCATTTGTGACGTAGCGAGTCACGTTGCTTGGTAGTGACGAATTAAAAAACGATCCCTCATCACGGCCTGTGGCTGTATCCAGATATCGATATCCAAGAACCTCCCTCGCGTCGGGAACATCCTTGCTGTCCATTGGCCTGGTTAATCCCCTGAGAAGACGCTGTCAGAATAAGCTCGAGACAAGGGAACGGGGCGACGGGACTTACCCGTAGAGAATGATTTCTCGATCGTTCCCAAACATCGCGCCATCTTCAAAGTTCACTTGGGCCACGGTCGGGCTGGGTGCCTTTGAAAAAAGGCTAGATGTGTTGGTCGTTTCATTGTTGAATCGATCAGCGAGGGACAGGCTATAAAATGGGCTCCCACCTAGCTGGAACGATCAGCTGTTATTCTTCATGGACCGTCGTAACAGCTGTCGATTTGTTACCGTCATTTGCTGGTATGCCGTAGGATCCATCGGAATACCCGCTAGGGAAGGGTCAGTGTGGGTCATGAAAGCACAAGGTCACGAACCTCTGCCACCATAAGGAGCCGCCGTTCAGTATGATAGTTTGCCGAAGTTGGAAGCCTTGGTCGGATCAACGTTGTGCTCGTGCGATTTGTATGCTTAGTGCGGTGCGACTTACCACGAAACCCGTTCCAGTTGCACATTGTGGTATTTATTTGGGTCGTCCATGGCGGCGCAGCAATTGCAGGGAGAGAAAGAAGCGCACCAATCAGCCACTTTAACGTGAAAGGGGTTTGTGGCATTTTTCAAGACTTTCTAGAATTGAAGCAGACTGAGCTCTGGCCGGACCGACGGCACTTATAGGAAAGGCTGACCAGTATGCTCATAACGGAATGTTACGTATTCTGTGCGATAAATTTTCTTCAGTTCAACGAGCCAAGTCCCAATCAATCCCCAAGGCAACTACTGATGCCATCGGTTCACTGATTTAGATGAGAAGACATCTGCATCGACACTGGCTACTGTAAGTATTGCGTTTGATTGCTGTATTATCCATCGTGAGAGGCTACCCATGCATTATGCCTTTTTCAGATATTCCTGCTTTTCCGCCTCTAGGGTAAGTTGAAATTCGAATGAGGATTCCTTCGTTGACATAGGCTGGATCATTTTCGGGAATTGCAGATAACCGGGTAACTGATTAGGATCTTGACCCTGCTTGTGACCAGCCAACAGAATGGCAACGTGCCTTTTGCGTAACTGAAAACCCACCTCGCAAAGAATCCATCCTATGCCCTTGTGCAACATTCGTATAGCCCCCTATCGTAGGACAGGCCCATTTATCGTGATATACCACCGTCTTGTTTTCTCGCTTGGGATTCAAATAGTCAGAGCCGATTCGATTTTCCGTTGCGGTCTGCATGTCGAACCTGGGTATATGGGATAAACATGCATTATAGTCTGTCTATTCAGAGCTTATTATAAACCCTCTGCCCTCTCTCTACTTGGGACCCATAGCCAGATATCTGTCTCTAGTGAGTGGTTTTATGTCATAACGGCTAGCCAATGTGCGTTTTTTACGTCGAGAATTATTCTATCTCAAGTTCAGAAGGGACGGACATCCCTGCACGTAACCTGGAAACAGGATCGAGATCCTACTGCGTTCAACTGGCTTCCGCCCATGGTTTTTCTGTCAGTGAACGAATTGAGAAATTACCAACTTTCTGACGATACTCGCCTGAGATTGAGTTGTCGCATAGGAATTGAGGACACAAAAGGTAAGAGTCACGATCAAGTCATGAAAGAGGGAGGAGTAAGAAAGCCAGGTTCCAATTGACCCTTGACCCTAAGCCCAAAACCCTAAACCCTAATGATGAACTTGCGGATACGGCAAAATCCTAGGTCCCCCTTATTTCACCTTGGGGCGATAAAACTTCCTTTCGGTCAATTATCACAGTGGCTTAAATCTATTGTCTACGGTACTTTATCAGAAACCTTCATGTACACATTCCCTCGAGATAAACGGAGCTGAGCTCACGTTGTTTGTCTACTTTGACCGCTTGCGATGCGCCTAGAATCGGATTGAGGCTAAGGCTCGGCTTCTCCGGTCTTCTTTGGCAAGTTACTGTGTTGTGACCTACCTCTCGAGCTTGGATTATCAAAGCTGTAGCTGGCGTCATAAGCGCCATAAAGGTGAAGGTTCTTTTAGAATTCTCCCCTGTATCGAAGGTATGCTTCAGCCTGCGGCTATTTATTGATCTTGTTGGTGAGTAAGATAGACAATAGGTCCGGCAGATGATCGAAAAGCTCGCTCATTGACCAGACAATGTGAAGAACGAAGAAAGCACTCAAGTCTTTACAATGCATTCAACATGGCTTTGTCTCGACAATAAGCAACTACGTGGTACATGGCCGCGTGCTCTCATAATGATGATTTTGGGTTCTTTTTCTAATCAAAGATGCTAAAGTTGAGTATTATTGCACTATTACCGAAGTGGTCGACAGATAAGGATGAGGGAACCAGAATAATATTGAATAATACTGTATATTCCCCGAACCTGATGATTTTTTTCAACCCGCTCCAGGGAAGCGAAACCATATACATTGATCAGCTCTGCGCTTGAGCAGGATCTGAACGATCTTGTCGTGTCCAAAAAGACAAGCAGCGTGCAGCGCATTATCGTATTCTTTACCCGGGGCGTGGACATCGGCTCCTTGCTCTAATAGCATCTGCACGATCTTGTCGTGTCCTTGAAAAGAAGCTGCGTAGAGCGGATTTCCGTAAAATCCAACCTGGGAATTGGCATCGGCTCCTTTTTGCAACAGCATCTGCACGATTTCGTCGTGTCCTTCGAAAGAAGCTGACTGGAGCGCATTTCCGGATTCTCCACCCTCGGCATTGACATCGGCTCCTCTTCCCAACAACATCTGCACGACCTTATCATGTCCAAAAGAACAAGCAGCGTGCAGCACATTTCCGTATTCTCCACCCTCGGCGTTGACATCAGCCCCTCTTGCTAACAGCATCTGCACGATTTCGTCGTGTCCTTGAGAAGAAGCTGCCTGAAGCGAATTTCCGTGAAATCCACCCTGGGCATTGACATCGGCTCCTCGCTCTAGCAGCATCTGCACGATTTTGTCGGTTGTTTTCTGCGGGGCCCAGATCAATAGCGTTGTTCCTCTATTGTCGGCCTTACTGATGTTCCCTTCCTGGCCGTTTTAATATTGCCACAGTGAGTGCATTCGTTGATCGCACGGAACTGTATAGAATTGCTGTCTTCCAAAAAAAGGAAACCGCCGGGAAAGCCGTTTTATGTGCGTTTGGTCCCCGTGATGTACGCAATTCGTTATTTCTTTGTCCAACGTCAGTCATATTCTGCACGTGATCGGACCAAAGCACCGCTCAATATTCCAACAGGCCTCGGATCATGAAGCTCGCTTGATCTCTACCGCGTTCTAACTCGGTTATCAAAAGGTATTGCAAGTAGATCTCACCCATCCGATCTTCTGCACTACTCAGGCTCCTACAATATGCAAGATGGGAATTCTCTGAAATCTTCTTTTGAAATAAAGTGTGGAATTGTTAGTAGAGACAAACGTGGATATATGCCATGGACATAGATAAGAAAGCACACCTATTCACATATACCGGGCCAACCTGGATCCATATCAGTATCTGCATGTGTGCCCCGTGACTTGAGCCTAGAACTTGACCGTCATACCGTTTGCTAGGTTTTTGTTTCTTGTAGCGTACGTAGCCTGCTACTTCTTCTAAGAATGCGTCTAGAATTGGGATTTGGGGTTTGAGATTCCGAATTCCCTTCGCCTCCGCTACCCCTTGCACTGCCGACCTGGTGGGCTCGTTTTTCTGCCATTTTGATTCTTTTCAGCCAAGATCCAGACAGGTGGGGCTTTGCCAGACGTATGGCTTCCAGAATGCGTTGTTGCCTCTCCAATGCTCGCTTGTCTATGCTCGAAAGACCCTCAAGTCTATCTATCTCCGATTCTAGATCGTGCACAAGAGAATAAGGATAAGCCAAACGCGTCTTACTGGCCCTTGTCTCTTCTTGTTGCCGCTCTTTCTTTGAAAGAATCCAGGACCAGTTGTCTACCTGGTTCAGCCATCCCGAACTTTTCAGGTCATAGTTCAGGAGTTGGAGGACTTGTTGCTCCATATGTACTATAACGGCAACACTTTGAGCGTTCATGCGAGTGATCACATGCTGATAGTCACCTTCCAAGACGCCATTGTGCGATACTGGCTCGTCGATACAGGGCCAATCTCTGTGGAGTACTGGCGATGGAAGGAATCAGCTTGTCCAAGTCTCTCGTTTGGCGTCAACACCTCACCTTTCTGGGATATTAAGAAACAAGTAAGTGCGAGTGCTCGGAACCCAGATAGACTCTTAATAGACCGAGCTTCTGCTAATAATTGTAAGAACCGAGAGAATATATCTTTGGCATAGAGTAACATGATGACCGTCGTTTGATCCATGACTGGGAGAGCTCTCCTAAAATAATCTCTTTCCTCTCGTTTTATATGCTCTTTTTGCGATCCCGTCGTCTCTGGACAACTTAAGTATTTAAAGAACTCCTCGACGATGTCCTAGCACATTGTAAGTTCTAGTCAACTCGTGTGAATCAAAATTCTCATACATCTACCAAAAGATCTCGAAGGTCGTTAAAATCCATGAGGGTCTAAGATGGTAGCAGACAATAGGATTGAGTACAGACTTTATCTACCGCAGTCGCTCTGCTGGCCAGTGATATATGGACAAAGAACCAGTTGTCAAATTGCAGTCCTGAAATGGAGCACAGAGAGACAGATTGAGTCGATGATGCATCGAAGGTAAAGACAGCTCCCAGCCAATTGCAGGGCCATCGGCTCTTCTTAGCCCATTATTTCAATGGCCCCACTATTCGACCATAAGCGCTGTTGGGATGACCCTGAGCATGTTCAAATGGGCTCAACCCCCGGATATCCAAATCTAGGGAGCGAAAGACCCTTTTTAGATCCCGGTGTCCAATTGTGACTTGAACTGTACCTGTCTTACGAAGCCGGCTTCTCTCGTGTCGTGTATTTATTCCTAGTGCCATATCCCTACATTGGGTGTCACTGAAACATGTTGCGTCGGCTCAAATATCCATTCACTCTTTTGAAACGGCGAAAGAGACTCAATTACATTAATGTAAATACGCCCCCCAGTCGAAGGATGGCCCATAAAGGCTCAGATTCCTGATCAGTATTCCTTGTCTCCTTGCAAGGCATTGATTGACCTTGATGGGTCCGTTGACTCAAAGGAATTACCGGAGGTGCACGCACAACGACTCAATGCGATTCAGCGCCGGGCTCAACGGCTTGACCACTGGGGTCTGTTTATTGGACTCGTTCCAGTGTGCGGTTTGCTGTGTCTTTTCCACCGTGTCTGATCTTACTGACTGTACCCACAGCATCGGCGATATCGTTAACACTGCCCTTGCGGTGAGGCTACTCTATGGTTGTCGGAGGTTGGGCACCAAGCTCCCTCCATCGCTATATAAAAGGATGGTGGCCAATATAATCATCAGTCTTCTCATTGGTTCTTTTCCTATTTGCGGAACCATTCTTGACCGGTGCTTGGTCAGATGCAACAAACGAAATGCTCTCATCCTTCAATCTTTTTTCAATTCCCAGGGCTGCCAAAGGACGAGAGACTGAAAAATACAATAGCAAATGAAGGGGCGATACAGGATTGGTTAATACGAAGGCCTATCGTTACAGGGCGCATGAAGCATCCTAAGTTGATACGCGGGATAGTCAAGTTCTGGGATTTAGACTGATTTTATGTAAGACCACTAATAACCATGACTACTATAACTTAGTTTCGTAGATAGGTGGCGTTCCGGGTGAATGCTCAACTGATTGGATCGATATCGGCGACTATGTCTCATTGAACGTCAACAGTGCAAAGTGGTGAAACGCTCTCTCAACTTTGTCTTCCGCATATGTTGCATTGATCTCACCGCAATATGCTGTATAGTCTCTGTGACACTAGCACGGTTCTTTTTAGAATGCATTAAGCCCGACTTTTACGAAAAGCAAGGGGGAAAACGGAGATAAAAAAACGAACGATAGACTCTGATGAACACTCAGTTTGACTTTCGGTAATACCCAGGAACGCTAGACGTATCAATGTTTTTGGAAAACCGTTTTATGTTACCTGCGTATTCCAGATGTGATTTCCAAAAACACCCACAGTTGATCAAGGTATAATCCCTTAATCGGGCCTGAACAGCGTTAGCGCGTTATGTCGACCATTTTGAAAACGGTGGTCAAAAAATGAATTTGGAGACTAATACCAAATAAACTGACTTATTGCGAGTACGTCAAATCAAACTTTTGTATTAGTCCCAGAAAGTTGCTGCAAATTTGTGGACGCTGTATATTTATTTATTCAAATACTAGAAGAATGGAAGTGAGGACTCCCGCAGATGGTGTAGTCTCTAGATAGCGTTACCTTCAGATAAGCTTGTTGTGGTATTTCTGGCATTCATCATCACGGAGATCTCTGTCCATAACGGTTTGCGGATTTGAAACCCCAAGCACATTGTAACGTTGACATGACGTGTTTCCCAGATGGTCCTCCGGGCGTTACTTTTACTAATTGATCAAGGCGATTGGGTGATAATTGTGACAACAAAAAAGTGCTAAGAGTTTGCACGTACGATGAATGGGTCGGCCACATAGCTACGTAATAAAGTAGAGTCACGGCCAGCGGATCCTGCTACATACAGCGCATTGACAACCCATGATAGTAGCCCATATTCTGTGATAGCCAGTAGCAAAAGTAATGTATCTAAAGCAGCAGTGTCGACCCTGCTCTGCCGAAAATCACAACATGAATTCTTGTCTACAGTGCTTGCAGTTTTCCCATTTGTTTCCGTCCTATCGTGAACAGACCACAAAAGTTTTCGAATAAGACTTGTTCTTGCATCTGCAGACCCCAATGTGCTGGCAGAGATTCCAATAAGACTAGGCTGACATAGATACTTGTCTGCAATGCAGATGTAGATCTTAGTTGAAGCGAAACTGTGACATAGCGTATGATTTATTGTACGCATACCGGACCGAGCATTTGGGTCCTCAGTGGGTGAGAGCGAGACTTGTCTTTGATTTCTCTGAGCTTTCGTTCCAGGAATGGGTTAGTTGAAGGTATTTGTTGGTTTTCTCTTCTGAGCTTTTCGATACGAGTGCAAAGAAAAGGGGTGCTGTCGCTGGGCATGATTTCTGACCTCTACGCACCTCAAAAGGTCGGCTTCTTATCTTTTGTGGCGTGTACGTGAAAGGTAGACGAACAAAAATCATTAATTGTTGTGTCTTTTTTGGAACTTGGCATCCTCAGCTGCACAAAAAACATGCAACTAAATTTAGCCATGCGAAGGGCTGCGGCGCTGTCGCGCCACTATTCGATGTCCCTGATTTGATAAGTATGCACCACCGGCGAAACTTGCCCTCATTGCCTCATCCTCAAGTTTGATCCAATACCGACAGCAACCTTATCTGGTGCTCTAAAAAAAGACCGCAGAAGCGGTTTGTCTGTCTTTTTTTTTCCATCTTTCAAAGCATTTCTGGGCGGATACCTTGGTCAACGAAAAGGGCAGGCATTCAATTTCGGACCATAAGGCTGCCGGAAAGATGGTATAAAGTAGGTGTCAGTACAACTTTCTTGGTTGAAGGAGGACTCTCAATGGCCCCTTCTGTCTTACCATGGGCTATCCTTCCAAGCTGTCAGGTGGACAGCTTGAGCACGTTGATTCAGCTGTATGAGCCCTATACCGATATTGAGCAGTTGAAATGCCAACCAGTCTGCGTAACCATCATTGGCTATGAACAGCCACAGGCATACGGTCCTGGTATTCATACATCATTATATGAGGTTCAAGGTGAAAACACCGTATGCAACTTTTTGCAGCTTTCTGCGGCCTGTAGCCTCAAGCCACAACCACTCTATGCCAAGCAGTCTGTTTCTATAGATGCCGAGCACACTGCTAAAATCTTTCATAGCCTATGCCTGGAGTTTAGTGACGTTATATGTATCAAAGCCCGAACCGTGGACGAGGCTGTTCACAGATTCCTACAGTTTCGAGACTGCACTGATGTTAGAGCCGATAGAAAGCCCCAGTTGATTATTCTCTTTGAAATGATTTCATCACAGACTACAGTAGATGAGACGGGCGTAAAGAAACACCTCGAAGCCAAATTGGCCAAAGATGGGAATGCCTCCCAGTGGACTTCGCAACTATTGCAGCATTTGATTGTGCAATTTGATGACCCGCAAAAAACGAATTTGCCCGAACTTTTGACCCGCATCCAAATGTATACTACCACAATGAAAAAGAGACGCGAAAAAAAGAGCCACATATGGACACTTGGAGAGCTCAACTATCTATTTGAGCAATACATCGTCACCAAAATGCCTTTTGTAGCATACCGTCAAGATCTGCCGAGGCTTAGCAGCCCAAGGCGGGGCGCCACCTGGTATCCAATGGCGTTTCGAAAGCGGATATGGCCCGGAAAAGAGATACAAAAACATAACGGCTTATCACAATGGCTCCAGGCCATGGATCACGATAGCGATTTGAACAGCGTTTTGGCCCCGGTCTTTGCAAAGATGTTTCTGGAGGATGCCGGCCTCCTCCCGCACGGTATGTATTATCCCACCGAAAGAGCCCACACCACACTTATCAGAGTATGCTGGTGCATTTAGATTTCCTCCCCGCAGAGCTCGTTGCAAGCATATATGGGCCATTGTGTAGACAAGCGTGGCACTGTGCCGTTCAGCAGTGTGTCTGGATAACCCACAAAGGACTTAGCAGCTTTTTAGATGATGTAGTCTCAAAAATGGGGCTCCAGATCACGGATCTCTGGCACGATGCGCAATTGGGGCTACAAAAAGTCCGAGGAAAGCCATTTTGCTGCATGTGTCCATGGAGCCTGCAACCCTGGGCCGTTTTCCCTTGCGGTCACAGCTTATGCGAGCGCGACGCCTGGCGTTATTCTGGGATCCAACCCAATGATGCCGGGCACCCGACTTTGGCCCAATTCAAAGCCTGCCCGGCATGCCATGCACCGGTGGACATAAAGTTACGGCTTCGCCCGTTACAGGCCGGTTATCGAGTCGCAACATTTGATGGAGGTGGTGTCTTAGGAATAGTCTCGCTCATTGCTCTTCGAGCTATTACCGCGAGCCTTCCAGAGGCACTGTCCGTACATCACTTTTTCGATCTCATAGTCGGTACAAGTACAGGTACGTTGAGTTGGGCCTTGTGAGTCTTGTGCACATAAACGAGGTTCAACTGACGGTCAGAGGAGCAGGCTCAATCATAAGCGCTGCGCTTGGTCTTATGCAATGGCCGTTGTCGTATTGCATTGAGATGTTTTGCTCCACGGCAAGTGACGTATTTATGAAGAACCGCGGATTAATAGCCCTTGTGCGAAGATTGCTCCGTCTCCACAAGACCGGGGCACGATATGACATGAATGTATTTTGCCACATACTCAGAAATGCCTTTGGAAATGACCTGATGCGACAGAGCACAGTGAGAACGAAACCAGATGTTGTACGTGTAGCCATCACGTCGGCAACCTTCGATTCACAACTATGCTTATTCCGTTCCTACGGAGACGTGGTGCGCGAGGTAGAACACGGAAAATACAAAGCAGAGAGCTTGTTCGATCTTCCCCTGTGGCAAGCGTATGTTTCCCGTTACTCTGATGACCATGGCCTTGGTTTGTTCCCAGATAGGATATGCTGATCTTCTCTGGTTCTTACGTAGCATTGCCACAAGCTGTGCTGCCCCCTTGGTCTTTGAGCCAGTGAACGGACTTCAGGATGGGGCTTTTGCTGCTAATTGCCCTGCTTGGGTGGCAATGATGGAGCTGAATGAGCTTTCTATGCTAGGCAGCCGTCTACTTGATTATTCGGTAAGCTTTGGGACTGGTCGGTTTCTGTGCCCGGACAAAAGCCGTTCGCGGAGATGGATAAAGCATCTCGTTCCAGAATGGGTTTCGAGATTAGGCTGTGGTTTGGGCAGTGTAGTGGACGCCGATTCTATGTATGGAAAATTTTCCAGTGCCCTCAATCGAGCCGAAAGGGATGGTAAACATTATCGCGTGGAGCCGTCGTTGAGAAAACCGCCAATTGCACTGGATGACGCAGCCTTCCTTGCAGATCTCATCACGGAGACAGAACAATACATGGAGTCCCCTCAAGTCCAGCAAAGCATTTCTCACTTACAGCTTGCAATGCTTGCGTCTTGTTTCTATGCTGCTTTGCTGTCACCGCCAACCTTTAACTCCAATGTAGGACAATACTGCGTCCAACTAGCAGTTCTGTCCCGATGGCCCGAAGATGGGGACATATGTCAGTCACTCGGTGAGAAACTAGAACATGCATCTTTTGTTATGGGTACCCTGACGCGCCCGTACACGATCCCTTTGTACTGTACGATTTACGTGAGCTCTCTAGATACGCCTATTGACATAGGTCTCACTGTTGACGGAATAACATCGCACCCTATCAGCGGGGCCCCGTTGTCTCTGATGCAATTGATGTACCTGCAACATCCGCCATTCTGGTCTCACTCTACTGCTCGTAAGCGGGACGGCTCTCATTTGGCCGATAGTTGCAATAAACGTCGCCGTACTACCTAAGATGCCTGCGAGATGGTTCTGGAACTGACTACTTCCCGAATGTGACATTCGCCGCAAAGCCTTTTCCTTTTCTCTGCGAAACTCTGAAAAATATAGCATTGCTGATATAACGATACTCTATGACCGTAGTCATGTTTGCAGTTTGCAGATTTACGGAACTTTGAATTTCCGTCGCTTTATTCAAGCCGTGCTCGTGCCTTGCATTGCCAGATTGGTTCTTGCAGCCACATCTAATCATTCATATGAAAGAACATCGTAAAGAAGAATGAACTGTAACTACCAAGATCGGTATCTGACTATGAGAGACTGAATGCGTTTAGTTTTCTCTGCCGCTGTACGCCTCGACGATTCTATAATTTGTGGCTGCAGCAAACTCTGATTCAATGTTCCAATGTGCTTGCTACCATCGCCATTTGCTCAAGATTTAATCAATATTCTAGACTGATAACTTTGTGTGCGTCATCGGGTAACATTACCAAGGTCAAAATTGTAAGACTCGCGTTTGTCTTGGTAGCCGGAATCCAATCTTTGTGTGTGAGGCAAGCTTTTGTCTGTATCTTGGCATCGGGTTTAGAGCACTCCTATCTCGGTATAGAGCTCGTTGTGAACCGTGACAGGTAGAAGGTAGTATATCAGACTGGGTGATTGCGTAATCCCTAAGTGCGGAGAACGAATAGGAAATAGCATGCAAGTTTCAGCTCTTGCTGTGCTCATTCAATCTGTGCTTCTAGCGCCATTCACTCCATGCAGCTATACGGTGCTTATATATTCTTTTTAGCCTTGGAGGTGCTACTGTAACGAGGCGCTCCGTCAGCCGTTTTATTTGTAGCCGGATCTTCAACAGAGATCCTGATCCCTAGCTTGAGTCTGACATTTGGTCAGATCTGTGTCCTGTTCACAGCAATATTTGAGCAGATACATGTACCTTTCCTGCTAATGCATCGAATTTTCCCTGATATGAGCATGGCTACTTTTTGGAATCTCTCTTTCGCCACTAGGCTACGAGGCATCTCACAATGAGCTAGAAAACTTTATTTAAACCGAGTCCTTAAAGCTGTTTGACACCCTTGAACGCGGCGCGAATCTGAAGGATGTCGGTCTCCACGACACCAACCGTGTCATCACTGCAATATACGGTTCTCTAGGTCTATAGTCAAAGTCAAAATGGCGATCAAAGGCTGCGAATATTCTTTTAATCTTTCATTCTTTCATTCTTCTTTTCGTCACTACTTATGTTCTTCCAGGGATTTCAGGGACGAAGGCAGAAGAGGATTTGAATATCGTATGTCAATGACTGAATGGATGCGCCTGATGACACTGGTTGAGTATCAGAATAGAAACATGGTTTGAAATAATAAACAGGCATCGTAAGATTGGTATGCAAGTCATAATTAGAATATTTCGTCGGGCGGCTCCACGTTTGCTGTAGCAGAAGTCCCAAATCTTTGAGCGACATCAAGGAATAAACTAATGAGCAATTTTTGACTTTAAAGCAAGTCTCGAGTATTTTGCACAGTCCAACCACCTTGGTTCACCCACGCTCATCAAGCAATTCTGTGGACTTTCCTCGGCTAATGCGCGGGATCTAGTATATGCAGGTTGCATCAGCTAGTTTTATTCCTGAGGCCGATTATCAAGATAATCAAATGAAAAGCGGAAACGAACCATTCTATGGGGGCAACTCGGCTATCAGGTCATATGGAGCGTAAAGACGTGAGGGCCTCGATGAGATGCAGACTGGCCGAGAGCAAAGCCCATCTCGGGGAAACCTGGATGGCTCTATCGCATGCCATCGGCAGTAGGCGCGTGACCGTCGCTTCCCGCAATACACACATCGTAGGCTGGTTGACCAGTGGCCCGGGAAGCTGGAGTATGGGGGAGGTTGTAAGGCTTCTTCTATCACAAGGTCGCCCCAGTGATCCCTATCAATGCCAAGCTGTCTTGATACATGATGTGCGCAACTGAAAAGAAGTAAGAGTCTGGAATCGCAGAGTCATACCAGAAAGGCACACCTATCTGAAAGCCGTACCCAGATCCCGTTGATGAAGCGCATCGGGCTTACAGCTTTAACTCGATAGATTTCCGCAGAAATTAGATTTGTCTACCATCTATTGAGCTATATATGCAGTACAATACCTGGCATTGACAATCTCGGACTGCATTCTAACGAATCTTTGTTCACGACATCTGAAAGATCAGCGAAATTGACGCAAGTGTTGTCGTTGTCAAAGACTTCAAAGGTCCCCCTGACTGAGACAGTTATGCCATGCCTTCCGCTCTGTTGGCGTGACTGTAGTTTTTGCGTAGCGGATCCGATGCATCTCGCACCACACTGGCACATTACGTCTCGGATCTAAATTTGGCACTGATTAAACAATTATGTGTTATTCTTTTGTAGCCCATGGACATTGTTTGGAAGCTTTTCAAGGACCTTCCACCTGACTATACATTACCTCCAGTCCCTACACTGAATGCCCTCTCGAACGCCCTCTTTCCTTGCTATCCCATCTATTGGCTCAGCAGAGACCACGGTATGACCGAGCTATCCAAGAAAAGCGCGAAGGAGTTTGCAACATTGTAAGTAAGCCATGTCCACTGCAAGATGGCATGCCTGATAGAATTCTGCACTAGCATTCTCCCACTCTACTGTGGCCCGCACGTAAAAATTCGGATCGACTTCAGCGATCACGAGTATACAGTCTCTAAAGGTCTTCTCTGCGCCGAGTCGTCGTACTTCTCCGCAATACTTGAGAAGCAGGATCCCGGATCTCAGCAGCAGACAGCGACTCTGAGCAAAGTGGAAGGCATTGTCTCCAGACAAAGCGTCGAAGCCTTGATCCAATGGTTGTACCTTCGCATGGTGATATTTGATGTAGAAGACCCCGGAGATCAGATATCAGCCGCCATAGAGCTGGTGAGACTCGCCGACTTGTGCAGCGTGAGCGGACTGGAGCCTCAAATGGCTCGTTTTATCAAGAAAGATTCTTGTTGCCCATCCAAACCCTCAATCCGAAGGGTTTTGGAGACACGTGGACACCAACACTTACTGCCTCACCCCACAGCACATTGCAGCGGCATCACATCTACCCCAGGGGCACCTG